GAGTTTCTGCGCAGGGACTTTCAGGTTGAAAGAGCTAGATTTAAAATGACACCTGTGCATGATTTCAACGTGAACATCTTGGCTTTGGGGCAGGCCGGGAAATGAAAACCATTTCCTCTGAACCGAGTGGTTTGCCTTCTTGCAAACTCTGACCAGCACCACCACGTGGGTCGGGTCGCTTCCATCTCCTGGGTGCAGGCAGGAAGCTTCGGGAAGGCCTGACAGGGTCACGCTTCTTATATTAAAAAAACGCAAAGCAGAACAAAAACAAGAGAACAGTCGCTAAATTTCCCAGTGATGCTTTCCTCTGGGGGGCAGGAGCATGGCAACAATGATTTCAGTGAAACCGTGATGTAATTAAGAAAATGCCATGAAACTTAAAAAAAAAGTGGTCAGTAGTGATTTAGAACTGAGAAGGATCTGGGGCATCCCGTCTTCTAGAATAACCTTCAGTTAGAGACAGAACCCGGAGGAGCCCCGCCCAAGCGTCCACAGGTGGTTAGCATGAGGGTTACTAGGAACCCAGCAGTCTCGCCCCCCTGGTTCAGTATCCCTTCCACAGAGCGGTGGTTTGCCTCTTTAGCATAGTACTTATAAAAGAGCACATGGTTTTATTTCAGGGCCTCTTCCAACCAGGCTCCTAAAAGTGGGTTTAGCTGCAAGCCCTGGCTACCCGACCTTTGCATGCTTGGGAAGGTAAGGACAGGTGAGGCCACATGGCCTCTCCTTCCAGATCTTCTGTGTGTACCTCGCTTCCTCTACTACCAGCTAACTTGCCTCAAAAGACAGGAATTCACTGTGGGGAAAACACTGCGCTTTCTGTTTGTGCCTTTGCTGTTGCTAGGAAACCACCTTTCATTTTTTTTCCTGAAATATTAAAACCTAAATATCAAAAGAGAAGGTGGGCATATAGCACAGAGTAAAACGATATAGTAGTGCATATTCTTGGCATAATCATCACATTAGAGCACTCCAGAGAGGCATAAAAGGTGAAATACAGCTGCCTTTTTCAAAGGCAAGTGTTTATTTCTAACGTAGAGCACCGACCGGAGTTGATGGGGCCTCCCCATCCTTTGGAAGTGGTTGGTTCAGCTTTTTACAACGCTCTGTAAGATGCCTGCCTGAAATTTATGACCTTGAAAACTTATCCTCTGAAGTCTACCTGGAGATGGCTTCCATTGAAAATGGTGACTGGACATAGTTTATTTCAGTGTGCCTTCTATCCCTTTATATTTTTCTTCTGAAAGCTACTCTAAAATAGTAATATTGAAAATTCTATCGAAGAGCTAGAGACATCCAGGAAAGATTTTTAAGGCAGAAATAACTCAATGTGAGTTGGTTTCACAAAATGTAGGTAACCCCATGACTCTCCCCATTTCCTTCTTCTCCGTGAACTCCCCCCACACCTTCCCATCTGTCTCCCCTCCCACCATAACCTACCCTCCCATCAAGTCATGGTCATGGTTCTGATCTACTAGTGGGTAATTTAAATGCTACTTTTTTGTGATGTGGGTGCATCTTGATTTGCTGTGAAATTCCAGGTCAAACAGTGGTGATGATAAAATCCTCAACCCTTAGAGCAGAAAGGGAATTTGCTGGTGAAGAAATAGGAACCCGGTGTTTGCTGTTCAGTGACTTGTCTTAGAAGTGGAAGCCAAGTCTCCCAACTCCTGAGCAGTGTACCCTAGAAACTGCACCGCCTTTCCCTCAGCTTTTATTTCCCTCCCGTGACATCATACCCAAGCCCACAAGCACAGGACTATAAGTGTGTTTCTCAGGTGTCTTATTATAACCATGGATTCAAGACATATATTTACTCCCTCTTATTATTTTTGTGTATCGCAGCATCATTTTTAGTCGATTAAGGATTCTTATCTAAGAGATAGGATGCTAAGCTTCTCAATCTGTCTCCCCCACAAGCAGACATTAATCAGAGCACCACTCAGGGCAACATCAGAGATCACAGGAGCCTGGCCAGACCACGTGGAGGTTCTAATACAGCAGGGGACCCAGCCCTGCCTGCAGTGGGTGAGGTGAGTCCCCTTCAGAGCAGCCTCTGCCCCAGGGATGCAGACACATAGCGGGGAAAAGGCTCAGAAAGTCTCACCATTTTCATCCCAGCAACTATCAAAATTTATATTCTTAGGAACCACTAAAATAACGTGCTGTTCACCATTGTCGGAGCAAAATAACTGCAAATATTTAGCGTGTATTTACTGTGATTTACAAGAATCATGTCCCTTGATTCTGACAGTGGCTTCGTACATAGACACCACAGTCAGATCCAGTTTAGAGGGGAAGAAACTGAGGCTCCGGCAAGTTAATAATTTTTCAAGATGGATAAGTAGTTGAGTCAGGACTCAAACTTACAGGTATTGAATGCAAAAACAAAAGCCACACAAAAGCCACACCAACAAAAACCAAAGCCAGATTTTTAACTACTAAACTCTATTAACTTTTGAAAGAAAATAGTTTAGCCTATTATTGTGTGTTAGTAATTTTGACAGTTTTTCCTTCCAAAATAAAAGTATTGGAAAGTGACCAGTAGTTGTTGTAAAGCAAGATTTGGGGTTTTATTTCAAACACAGAAACACCCTCAATATTCTCTTCCCTTTGCCTGCAGAAATAAAGGCTTCCCTGCATAGATACTCTTTTATTTTATTTTATTTTGTATTGAAAATTTTGAAACAGCCCCAAATCTCATAGTATCAATTTCCTGAAATTGTATTTACATTTTTACCTTTTCCCTAACACTACCTTCAGTTTTATTCATAGATGTTCATTGTATTTGACTAAAGCTGACTTCATTTTTTTCCGAGATGTTAGCATAGCAACATCACTCTCTTTCAGTCAACTACTTGAACACTTCTTTCTGGAAGTAATTTGAATACAGTTCAAATTTGATATTTTAATTTGATTTAATTTTAATTTTATCTTTTATTTGATCTTCCTAAGATCCATGTATTTAGAAACTATGTGAAGAAGTTGCTAACAGAAGGAAAATACCTCCCTGGCTCCAGTGGATGGGAAAATTCTGTTATAATTCTGTGCCCCCTAGTGGTATTGCCATTTTACCGTAACTTTCAAAGAGGAATTAAGAAAGCCTCCCTTAGGAATCTCCCAAACCTATTCATCTCTTCCCCAAGGAAGCATTCAGGTGCTGTGCTAGTTGGAGTGGGTGCAGAGATGAAAGTACTCTTGATTTTTTCATGTTGGTGGACTGGTGATGCAGTTGGGTAAATAGGCAAGTAATTCTGTTGCGACGATGAGTTTGCGGTGGTTTGCACAGGACAGAAACACGGAGGGTTTCCTGAAGAGTCGAATAGCTGAGCTCAGGCTTGAGGAATAGCTGGACTTTGGTGAAGTCATCAGGGCAGAGGATTCAAAGAGAAAACACGAGGGGAGGGTAGAGCTCAGGGGAGGGTAGTGCTTAGCATGCACGAGGTCCTGGGTTCAATCCCCAGTCCCTCCATTAAAAATAAATAAATAAATTCAAAGAGGAAATCACTTGAGATGGCTTGAGAGCTGATCTTTGAGATTGACTAGAGGTTGGATTCTCCTGGAGCCCAGGGTGCTTTTGAAGGTGTGGCTGTGAAGAGGAGATGGAGGAGTAAGGCAGTATTCTGACTTGAGTAGGGAGCCACTGACGGACATAAAGCGAGAAACTCCATGTGTTCCTATTTCCACTGTCAGAACAGCACTTGACATTGGTTCAGTTTAATGCCAAAAAAAAAAAAGAACAAGTGTGACTCGTACACCCAGGCATGGCCCAAGCCCCCCTTCCCAACTGGGGATGCAGAGATGATTATGCAGAGATTACTGAGAGCTCCCATGCATGGACAGATGTTAAGACAAACCTCCAGTTTTCAGGCAGGAGTCTCTGGGTACATCGTGGTATGATTCACTGAACTTGAGACTATCTGGTGCGGCCACCAAGGAATGCAGACAATGTTGAGTTTAACCTCATATGGAGTTTGGCGTGCCAGTTGAGACAGCCCAGTGGAAGTGTCCAACAGGATATGTGGATCTGCATCTCCAGGGGGAGCTAAGAGTCAAAATTTGAGAATCATATTCATATACACTGGAAGTGATGGGTTGGGACCAGAGTACCGGGAAAATAGGTAGACTGGCTTGAAAAAGATGTGGCCTGAGGACCCAACCTGGGGGCACTGGAGGGCACGGTCTTTTCGGGTATGGGACAAGGAAGAAGAGAAGGAGGTGGAAATAGAAAAAGCCAAGTCAGCATCACCGCCACAGACACCGAAGAAGCTTCAACAGGGAAATGCCGGAATGAGATCAGTAGAGATGGGGATTTTGAATTTGGCAACAGGGAGGTCGTTTGGAGAAGCCATTGTTTCTGTTTTTTATTTTCTTGCAGAATTGTCGAAATAGAATCAGGTCAGAGTGGGCAGG